TTCTTAGCACTTTTCTTGATGGTGTTAGTGTTGTTCTTAGCATTGATCTTGCTGGTGTGAATGACGTTCTTAGCATTGTTCTTGATGTTGTTGTTGACACATTGTTAGTTTGTTCACTCCACATTACTGATGATGTTGTTCTTAGCATTGCTCTTTGTTGTGTAGTGATGTTCTTCATAGGATGATACACATATACTTGTGTAGTGATGATGATGTTCTTACCATAGTGTGTATGTTGTGCAAGCATGTTGGATGTTGTTCTTGCTGTTGTTAGGCTACGTGAATGCATGATCAACATGGCAAATTTGACCATTTTGACCTATGGACGAAATCAGTTCACGGAATGAACTGACCGTGAAACTATTTCACAGCCCTAACCATTTTGTGTAGCGCCCGACACGACGGCGCCACACCCTACTGTGAAGCGCCTAGCACGGGGGCGTTGCACACCAGTCCACTGTGGCAGCCCCTGGGCCCGCACCCAGCAGTGCAACACCTCCGTGCTAGGCGCCACACATGTAATGTGCAGCGCCCAGCCCGTAGGCGCTGCACGGTGACTTAGACGCCAGCCGCCCGCTCCCCCTCCCCCACCCCACCCGTTCATTCGGTTTTGAAGTAACAGAAGCAGCGGCGCGGCGGGTTCCTCCTCTCCCCCTCTCAATCCCCTCTCCCAAATCCTTCAGATTCGACGATTTGGTCCGTGCATACTCTCTTCCGATCCCCTTCTTTCTATCCATAGAAAATATGATATTTTGAAGATTTGGGGAATCCTTGTTTGATTAGATTAGATTTGAATCTTGCATGTATTAGAACTTTGCATGTATTGATTTGTTTGATTGATTTGGGGAACCCTTGTTTGTTTGATTTGTGGAACCCTTGTTTAGTTTATGGAAGAGTTATTTTTATGAAGTAGGCATAGTTTATGGAAAAGTTATTTGTATGAAGTAGGCCTAGTTATTTGTGGAACCCTTTTTTATTAGTTACGTTTGATTTGATATGGTTGGATACATAGATTGGTATGGTTGCATCTAGTAGGCCTACTTTAGTGGACTTTATGTGGACAATAATGCGTAACCGAGTAGCGCACTTTGACGTCCGAGTGCACCACCTTATGTGGACGATAATGCGTAACCGAGTAGTTGTCGAGCCACATCTTCAATTCCAAGAAGGTTCGAACTTAGAACCTTTAGCAATGCGGTTCTTGTCGTCTCCCAAATCACGATGAGAGCTTGGCCTAACCCCAAGAGGTACACATTGGCCACCATCTACCACGACTTCATCCGCGAGACTAACATCCTTAAACAATGTGGTCCGATGATCCCGACCAAATACCTTCTCGAAAGCTTCGGCCTCCTTCACCGTGAACCCCTCCGCATCAACTTGTTCATCGGGACCATCGTCATCCGAGTCCGATGCATATGCACGGGAAAAAGGGATGGAAGGGTCCATTGTCTCTTGCAAGTGATATTTGTCGAGATTACCCACATTGTTGTCATGGAGATCAACTTCATTGTCATTGTCCGCATACTCATCATTGTCCTCTTGCAAAGCTTCATCTTGGTTGTTTGTAAACGGGCTCAATGTTGGCCTCACTTCTTGGGTCAAAAGAGGTTCAACAATTTCATCTCGCTTCAAGGGTGTGGGGCTACTAGCAACCAAAGGGGAGGGGTTTCGTTTCAAGTCCAAATGCAAACTTGAATCAACCTTCTTCGTTGCAAATAACTCAAGAGCCTTGTCTAGTGATTCGGCCACCGTCTCCTTGTATGCAACCCAACGTTGCTCCAAGTTGACATGCATTGTCTTCCAACGGATGTGCATTCCAAAATCAACATTATGCCTTCCCTCCAACTCTATGATATCACTAGGGTCCGTCCAATTCAAATCTTCCCTAACTTGTTGCAAGAGCTCCGCATAGCTAGGACTACTATCAAACACCATGTCAACCTCATCCGGGTCCGGTTCTACATTGCCTTTCAAAAAGGCGTCCTTGTCCCCATGATGAACAAACACACATGTTCTTCCCATCCCTATAAGCATTCCAATAACACAAGGTAACATTGCTTCCATGAGTACTAATACAAGGATTAACACGGAATAAAAACCCTAATATATATATCAAACAACAACCCTAACCCTAACCCTAACAATAACCATAACCATAACCATAACCATAACCCTAGCCCTAAACCTAACCCTAGCACCAACATAAGAACACCCATAAGAATAACCCTAGCATACTAACAAAGCCTAACCATAGAAATTGGCAAACAAACATCTCACATTTCCATGCAAATCTCTAGATCCAAACAAAACTAGGGTTTCCCCAAACTAGCAACAAATGAGCAATGGGAACTTTACTTGGATCAAAACAAGGGGATCGGAGAATATTACCTTGAGGGAGGGTTTGACTTCGAAATCCACGGACAAATTCTTCAAATTTGCAAGATTTGAGAGAGGATTTGAGAGGGGG